TTGCAGGTAGGGGTATATATACCTATGTGTGCGTACACGCGTGTGCGCGCACGTGTACGTGCCTGTCCATATGCCCCCTCCCGCAGCAGTCCATGGTTCGGGGCGCAGCGAGCGCAATCCCGCCCGGATCGGGGTGTTCGGCCCCAGGGGCTTCCCTGCACACTGCTTGCAAACAATAAAACAGGGGTGAATTACTGACAATTTACTTTAACGGGGGCTGGAAAACTATTTTTAGCTACTTGGAAATGCCATTTGAATGCATACGTGTATAATAGCCCCAGTCAATGTAATCAACAAACCCTGTTTCTTTTTCCTAACGTTTTTTCGAAGGCAGCCTAGGGGCATATTGTGCTGGGAAGGCGCTTAGTGGTTGCCTTGCTCCGATTATTTGCCCGCTCCCTGTCTTCCCAAGGAGCACTGAGCGTGCAGGCCGGGCCTGCCACACAAGGAGGATATTGTAGCTTGTGGTTCTGATGTAATTCCCCCCAAACGCTCTTTCCACAATGAAAACTTTAACTCGCTTGAAGCCAGCCCCCTTGGCCTTTCCATCCCCTTCATACAGGGCTCGGTGAGCTTCCAATAAACATTCTCGCCTGGGCTTATTGCTCTAATTATTCTCCAAGGCCCTGCGAAAGGCCCACTATCCTTTGTCCATAGAAGCTATAATAAGCCCTAATAAAGTGTATTCCTCGCCGTATTTGCTCTGACTTCTTATTTTAGTGGTGTTAGGGCTCTGCTGTAATCCTCCTCAAATCCGCATGGCTGAGTGTCTTCCTAAATGGTCCTGTTTTGGGGAGAAGCAAAATAAATGGGAGATTGCAAATCTTCTTCACTGGATAACAAGCAGTGTGGGGGTTCCTGCAGCAGGGTCTGCCTGGGCACCGCTCACCTGCACCCACGTCTGCTCGGCTCCATTATATCCATGTGCAAATCCAGGTAATTTGGATAATAATGCAAATCCTCCCCGTTTCTCTGCCTGCAGCCTGAAACTAGAATCGCCTCTGTGCAGCGTTCCCACCAAAGCCAGGCTTAGGCTGTGGAGGAAAGGCAGGGGCCTGGGGCTGCTTCACTTGGAGCGTCCCCCCTCTTTGGGCATTTGCTTCTTTGTGGAAACCTCGGGGGCTTTCACAGACCCTTCCCACCCCAAGAACAGGAGACGCGGGGCCAGGAGGGGAACGTGGAAGCGGCCGAAGCTCCTCAGCTTTATCGGGAGTGACGCCCTGAGAGCTCCTAGTCTCCCGAAACGACGACCCTCGCACGCAAGGCCAATAAATGAACATTTCCCTGCACTCGAAATAACCCTTTGCACGCTCAGAAAGGCAGGGTATGAAACCTCTCCCGGGCTGCTAAGCTTCCCCTGCCTGTTTCGGATGCCTTGGGTGCTGATGCTTGGGGCATTTCCCAGCTTAGATCTGTGCAGCTATGGAAGTTTCTCAGGAAGCTTGGTGATACTCAGCCTAAACTTCCCCTTCTTTTATCTCCTATAACTTAATTCTCCCTTGTGCCGCTGCAGCCCGGCTTCCTGCGCTGCACGAAGTTGTGCGTGGGGCTCTCAAGGCCTCGCAGACAAGGACAGAGCACACGGTGCTCTAGCCAGGATGTGCAGATTTAGTCCTCAGGCTGCCCGCTGGAATCAGGAGCCCTTTTCGGGCCATAAATGCAGGCGGAAGCTGGATTTGAATTGCTTTTATGTCGGGCTAATTTCTGGATACTAAGGCACGTACACTTATCCCTGTTTGTTTCTGAAACTGTTGCATATGGGGGGAAAAAAAGCAATTTGACAGCAAAATTGGAAAAAGTCTCATCCTCCCTGCCACCTTTGTGCAAAAGAGGGGGTTTTGGTACTGCGGGGTCCTGTGTTTCTGCTGCCGGGTTGTAGGGCGAGCTGTGCGCTTCCGTGCAGGAGGTGCAAGGGCAGATCAAGCTGTTCCTAAAATATCAGTGTTCCTCCTCCTAGGCCCTGGTTTGGAGGATGCCAGGGATGCCTAGGCCGGACTTAAGGCCTCGCCACCACCTGCACGGGGCTGTTGTGCACTGTGCACCGTGCGTGTGCCCGGCTCGGTGTCGGCAGGCAGGGTAAAACTGCTTCGAAGAAGCCTTGCAAACCTGAAATCAGCACCTAGACCAGAGCAGACTCTGTTTTCTTGCTTTTATTTGAAGCATCTCGCACGTGAGAAGCGGCCTTGCTCTGATTGCCCTCTGCAGCAGCTTCATACAGCTTGCCACTACACTTTGTGGTCCCCTTTAGCTGAAATGTCCCCGCTTTGAGACCTTTCCTGCTTTGCTGAGAGAGGCCAAAGTGGCTGGACCGAAAGCAAAGCAGCGACCCTGTGATTTGGAGATCACGCTGGGAAAACCCACTGGAGCATCCGCCTGGATCCGCTGGCAGGGGGAAAGGAAGGATGATCTTGAAGGTCTTTTCCAACCAGAGTGATTCTGTGCTTCGTAGATCTCGAAAGGCACGGCCGGGCTGCAGCCTGTTGGGATTAGCTGTGATTTATCCGGGGAGGGCCAGGGCTCCGACCGGACCTCAGATAGACCTACGGGAGCCCCCGGCAGCTCTCCGTGCTCCAGCTGCCACGGAAAGGGTGCTGGGAAGGAGGCAGCCGCATGGAGGCGGCTCCGGGCGCGCGGCCGTGCCGGGGACGGGCACCCTGCCCCACTGAGCCCCGCGCCAGGGAAAGCGGGAGAAACCATTAAAAAAATAAATAAATCAATAATAATTTTTAAAAAAATGCACTCGGGGAAAATTTCAATAGCTCATTGAGCTGCTGAGCTGCTGCTGCAGGAAGTGTAAAAGAAAAGTGGAGCCGGCTTTGTTGTGCGCAGACAAGGAGTAACCGGCAGCGCCCCAGCAGCCGCTTTGTGCTCCGGAAAAGCGTGAGCTCATGTCCAGGAGCAGGGCCGGCTGCGCGGGCCCCGCCGCTCCGGCCCCGCAGGCTCCGGAGCGCCCGCGGGAGCAGGGCCGGGGGAGCCAGACTCGCGTGTGACAGGCGAAAGCGCCGGGGTGTCCGAGGACACGTAACCGGAGCCGCTCGGCAGCGCGAGGCCTCGGCTCTTTGTGCTGTGGCACGCAGGAGGACGCTCAGGTGCGCTGCGCCGCGGTGGCCGGCGCGCAGGGCGCCCGTGCATCGTGCACCGGGTGCGTGGACTTCATGCGTGGGGTGCATGTGCTTTGTGCACCCGGTGCTGGTGCTCCGTGCGCCTGCAGCGTGTGCTTTGTGCACAGGGTGCGTGCACTTTGTGCACCGGGGGCATGCGCTTCATGCACTGGATCCATGCACTTTGTGCACTTGGAGCATGTGCTTTGTGTATACCCGGAGCGTGCACTTCGTGCACCAGCTGCATGCACTTCCTGCACAGGGTGCATGCAATTCATGGGGGGTGCACGCTCTTCGTGCACTGGATGCATGCAATTCCTGCACCCGGCACATGCGCTCCATGCACCATGTGCTTTGTGCCCCAGGCGCACACATTTCACTGCAGCAAATGCAGCTCCGCCGCCGTGCCTCGGAGGGGACGCTGCTTGCCCGTCCCCAACACCTGCAGCTCCTTCTTCAGGCAGGGAATTCCCGCAGCTCCTTGGGGACGGGCTCCGGATGCTCCCCCGCAGCCGCATGCCGTGCCGAGCTGCATTCCTCGCGTGCTTTCCCCGGCAGCTCGAGCGCGGGGACATCTGCAAACGCCCGACTCGGAGCCGTTTTTGTCGGGGGGAGCAGCGAGCGGGGGCCAGCGGCGGCCGCCTGTTTGCTCGGCCCGCGCGGAGCGGCTGCGCCAGCTATGGCAGCTATGGCAGGAATTCAGGCACCGGAGGCCTCAGCGCGTGTTTGTTTCCTGCTGTAACGCTTCCTGCTGCGGGCGGGCGCTGGCACGGGCGCCACCGGCTGCGGGAAGGAGCCCGGGCGGGTTCCCAGCACAAGCAACAGGCGCGGAGCGCGGCCGGAGCGCAGCCGGAGCGCGCGGTCGTGCCGGGACAGGCCGGCGTTCCCAGCGCGCTGCCGGGGGGGCGGTTTCGCCCTCGTGATTCCAGCTCTGTTGCAATATCCCGGAGCAGGCCGGACGTCCCGCTGGGATGGTGAAGGGCGGCTGCAAGGCGAGGGACCCCGGGAGCCACGGGCTCCCCGGGGACGTGCTGGGTCGCGGCGCGCTGGCACGGCCGCGCGCTGCTCCACGGCTCTGATCCACAGCCGGGATTTCTTTCTCCAAAGGCTTCGCGTTCACAGCCTCCGTGGTGCTTGAGAAGTGGCCTTAGGAATAAGGGAAACTGTGCAGGAGAGGCAGGGATCTGCTCCGCCCTGGAGGAAGCTGGACCTTGGTTTGACTTCAGGGTTGTGCAGAACAGTTGCCGAGTGCTGGACGTGCAAAGCAGCGCAGCGTGAGTGTGCAGGCACCAAAAAGAGCTTGTTTGTGGCCACATCAGGACACTGTGAACACAAGAAATCTTATTTATAGGATTTATTGTAGTCCTTTAAATGCTTTTTAATGCACTTTTATCTAGAGAAGCAGCCTGATCCAGGAGCAGGTCCTTGTGCTGTTTTCCTGAGCTGAGGGTTTGGTGCACAGCTCATCCCGATGGTCCCCTCCTCCTCCTCCTCGCCATCGGCCTCCACCCTCCCGTGCTTTTCCTTGGATAGGCCGAGGAGCCCGGGAGATGCTCCCCACGCCCGGCGGCTTCCACCAGCTGGAAACGTCTCTCTTCCCAAGGCGGCGGCTCCCGGCTGCGTTTCGCTTCCCCTCGAGCCAGCGAGCGGGGCTTCGTCTTAAGCGTCACAATTTTCATCTTAATTTTGAAAGAAAGAGCCGGAAAGTGGCAGCAGGGCGTTGTTCAAGGGAAGGGGAACTCGCGGCGAGCCGGTGTCACCGCAGAGCTCGTGGAAGCCCTCGCGTGCGTCCGGCAGCGCCCAGGCGCCGCGGCCGGCTCCGGAGGCGGACGTGGAGCGGCACGTGGTCCCTCCCGTGCGCGGTGCCAACCTCACCGTGTCCCCGCTCCTGTTTTCCAGTGTTCTCCGGTGCTGGGGCCTAGAACCGATGGCCGACAATGTCAACCACTAACAACATAGCCCAGGCCCGCAAGCTGGTGGAGCAGCTCCGCATCGAAGCCGGCATCGAGCGGATCAAGGTGAGCGGGAAGGGGCTTTGGGTGGGCCAAGGGCAGACCCGTCACCTCAGCGGCTTCCAGGGTGCCAGCTGGGCATGTGCACCCAATGAGGGCACCAAGGTCCCCGGGGCCAGGCCCACAAGGCTCCGGCCATGCTCCACGCGCTCTACACACCACAGTGCCTATTAAATAAGTAGGGATTAAATCCCCTGTTATTCCGCAATTGAATATTTTATGCTTTTTCTGTGACTCTCAGTCCCTGCTCCATCTGCAGCGACGAGCCCTTCCTCAGCTCTGGTTTTGATGTGCAGGAGGAGCTGCTGCTGCTTTCAGTATCTTTTCGTTTTTTAAACCAGCCTGGGGTTTTGTAGCTGTTTTTTGGGCCGCCAGTTTCCAGACTCCAGCGATGCACCCGTCAGAGGGGCCGTTTTAGGGAAAACACAGTAAATTACAGCTCTTCCCCCGCAGAGTCACTCCTAGGAATTACTGTGTCCCGGTGCTGGGTCCCCAGCAGTGTGTGGCCGGAGGCAGTGTGCATCATAAAGCCGGGATGCTCCGACCCGGCTACAATCCCAGCAGAAAAGGGTGCAGGAAGCCCAAGGTGGCCTCTCAAAGAGCTGGCTACGGGCTTTGCCCAAAGCTGCAGAGAACGGTGGTTTGGTCCCCAGCGCTGCTGCTTCCCAGCGGTTTGCGCTCAGTTGCGGCTGAAAAGCTGCGTAACTTTGCAAGTGTTGAAAAAAAAAAGGAAAAAGAAACGCAAGTTTTGCAGAACCTTTTTGTGCAGGCTGGTCCAGAGCCTGTGTGGGGCTCGGGGTGCGGGCATCCCGTGACGCTCCGCACGGGGCCGCACGGCCGGGTTGGGGCTCCCGGTGTCCAGGGAGCCGTTTCCTCGGAGCGCGGGGGCTCGGGGGGCTCCCGGCACCGCCTCTTCCCAGGCCTCCCGCTCCGGAGCGCGGCCGCTTCCCTCGCCCTGCGCCCGCCCCGCGCGGGCACCGCGCTTCCCAGAATGGGCCTTTGAACTAAAATAAGCAGAGCCTTAAGTAATAGTTTCTAATGGTTTCAAAAGTCCACTTTTAACATCAGAGGGTGGTTGCTTCCAAGAAAGCGTTTTTGTTCTTTCCTTTTCATCCCAAAGCCTTTAAAAATGAGAACAAGAACATCTTTTTTAATCTCTCGCCGAGAGTTTTTCCCATGCTCATCACTTTACTTATGTCAGATCTTAGCTTTTTTTTTCCCATATTCATTTCCCCTTTTTATTTCTGACCGTCCCCGTGAAGTTTCTGTTGCGAAAAGCCGAGCGCTCCGCGTTTTCCTCCCAGGACGTTCTCCAAAATCCTCTCCCTCGGGTGCCGTGCGGGCAGCCCGGGCCCTCCTCCTTAACCTTGCTCTCTCTCGGACCGTTTAGGTCTCCAAAGCGTCTTCGGAGCTAATGAATTACTGTGAGCAACATGCCAGGAACGACCCGCTGCTGGTTGGAGTGCCTGCCTCGGAGAACCCCTTCAAGGACAAAAAGCCGTGTACCATCCTATAGCCGCCCCATAGCAGGGCCCCGCGCGGCGCCTCCCGCCACCTAAACTGCGCCCAGGGCTTAACACTAAACGCTGCATTCGACTAGACCTTAAAATCTCCAAAATTGCAGGCGGGTTAGCAGAGCGGGGCTGCTCCTGAGCAGGGGCCGTTTGAGAGGGGGTAAAATTGAAAAACAAACAAAAATTCTGGGTTGGGGGGTGCGTTTTTAACGGTGACATTCTCGGTTGGGGTCGGGGGGCTGGAGGAAGGGGAGTTTTGAACCGCTTTGGTCAGCACCGGACCTGGGCCCCGGGGCTCGGAGCTCGGGAGCAGAGCGCCAGGCGGGTCCCACCGGCTCCCGGTCCGGATACGGTCCCGATCAACTCCCGAATTGGGGCCGATTGCTCTTCCCCGCGGCGGGCAACGAGGGAGAAGGTTCCAGCTGGGTGGCGGTTTTGTAGTAAAATAGTGACCAGAACCAACCCGCGGGTTCCAAAAAGAAAAAAAAATTATGGTTGGCAATGGCTAAGGTGGGAGTTGGAGGAGCGAGGCGGCGGCACCGCGGCGCTCGCGGCCGCGCGGCACGAGCGAAGCGCGGCAGCCGCGAGAGCCCCTGCGGGTGCCGGCAGCCAAAGCTTGGCTCGAGGCCTGGGAAACGTCGCCCGGGCCTAACTCCTCGGCGGGGCTGAGCTCTGCGCCTCGTCCCGCTGTCCTTCCCGGGCGGAGCGGCTCCGGGGTGGGATGGGCGCAGGGTTCCGTAGTGCAGGATCCAGCCGGGAATTGTTTGCTGCGGCCCGGGGGGTCTCCCAGCGTGAACACTAACCCTGGCTGTGGAGCAAGGCTCGGCCTGGCGTTCCCACCCTCCCGGCTGCGGGAAGGGCTCCGCGGGAAGGGCCGCAGGGAATCCCGGCAGCCCTGGGGCTGTAGGGAATCGCATCCGCCCCGGGGCCGTCCCTGGGCAGCCGCTGGGGCACTGGGTGCTCGGAGACCACGAGAGCTCAGGGAAGCGCCCGACGCCTCGAGCAGAGCCCTGGGCTCCCTCACCAGCTCCAACGGCGCCTTGGGACGCGCCGGTGCCGCCGGCCTCACCGCGCGTCCCTCCTGGACGCTTTTTGCCAAGTTTTAGTTCGGATCCTGCGTGGGAGAAGGAGAAGGGGTGGGAGCCGGGCCAGGCGCTTCCCGCGGCGCCGCCGTCCGCTCGGAGCGGGGCCGTGCGGATGCGGGCCCGGGGCGCGCGGGGGCCCCTCCCGCCGACACTTTTTTAAGCACGCGATGATCACTTGCCTTTTTAAACCGAGTTGGAACCCCCCATTTTTAACACTAACCCAAGCGGCGGCCCCCGTCCCGCGCTCCGAGCCGGGCACCGCCGCGGCTCTGCTCGCGGCTCCGCCGCCGCCGCTCGGGTTTGGCGCCGGGATCCGGGCGCCCGGCCGCCCTCCTCGCTCTCGTACAAGTCCAGCCTTATTTTTCTACTCCAAATTGCTGATTCTTCCTCCGTGTTAGAGAGCCGAGCATGGTGCTATAGCCGGGGAGCCCGCGCGTGCCCCGGCCGCGGCCCCCGGCGCCTGCACCGGGGACGGGGACCGGGGGACATGGGCGCGGGTGGCGCCGCCCTCGGCCGCCGCTCGGCTCCGGCGTCGCTGCCGTCGCTGCCTCGTTAGGTGGAAAAAATCCTCACCCGTTTTTTATTTTATTTTTTGCCTCGTCTGAGTAAATCAGTGATCATTCTGTAGATGTTTTTGTATAGCATCGATATAAGTGCAAAGTATGGTAGCTGCTTGTACTTTGTTAGTGCATTTGCCAAAAAAAAAAAAGAAAAAAAGAAAAAAGGTTAAAAAAAAAAAAAAAAGACACTTTTCCAGACTTTCCAAGCACTCCGGGCAGCAGAGGGGCCAGGAGGCGCCCGCAGCCCCACGGGGGCCTTTTTGGGCACGGAAGCGCCCGCCCTGGGCACCCGCAGGGTGTTTTTAGCGTGCGGTAAAACTGCTGCCAAAAATAGGAAGGTGAGGGCAGGGAGGGAGCAGCGGGATTGCTCCGGCTGTCCCGGCCGGCGTCACTCGGGATAACGGCCACGGAGCCCCAATGGGGACAGGGACAGGGCCGCGGTGCTGGCGGCTCCTCCCCGGCCTCCCTGCTCCTGCGAGCGCTTGGAAAACGGCCTGGATTTAAGCGCATAGGAAAAGCGTAGCGCGTTTGGTTCCGCGCCGCCCGCTCCCCGCTCCGCTCCGCTCTGCTCAGTATCATTTGCCAAACCGGTGTCATTGCCAACCGCGGCCCGGGGCCCGCGCAGCCGCTGCAGCCGGTGTCACCCGTGCAGCCGGTGCAGCCCATGCAGCGGGTGCAGTGGGTGCAGCCCTTGCAGCCCATGCAGTGGGTGCTGCCTGCGCAGCCGGTGCCACCCGCGCACGGCAGCGCTCGGCATCGTCCCATCCCGTCCCATCCCGTGGGCCCCGGGTCCCTCCCGCGCGCCGCGGCCCGGCCCCTCGCGCAGTGTTTGATATTTCGTGCAGTTGTTGTTAAGAAGTGGCTCGAGAACACAATAAACGGCTCACTTCCCATTTTGCCAGATGTGCCAGCCGTGCTGTGCTCGCTCCGCACCGCGGGAACGCGCCCGGCTTCCCGGGAAGCGCCGGGCCCTGCGGGAGCCGCTTCCCGGCCACGCTGTGCCCCGCGCGGAGCCGGCCTGGCAGAGCCGCCCGCCTTCCCGGAAGGCGGCTGCGTCCCGGCCCGCGGCTCTGGGAAGGGCTTGGAGCTGCTCCCGCCGCCGGGCCGGCCGGAATGCGCGTCCCGCGCGGGCCCTGGAGCCGCTGCCTCCGCGTGCCGGGAATGCTTGGGATTGCTGAGCGTCTGCCCGAGCGGGCGGGGGGCCGGGATGGCGCTGGGGACACGTCCGCACCCGGAGGGCATCTCCAGCGCGGGATGGGGACGGGGGCCGAGCCGGGGCCGCAGGGATGTTCTCAGCATCCCGGAGCGTCGGCAGCGCCGGCGCCGGGAGCGGCCAGAGCCTCTGCCCGGGATGGCGGCGGCGCCGGGCGCGGGGCCCGGAGCGGGCGGCGTCGGGGCGGCCAAGGAGCCGGTGGCAGCGCTGCAGCCCTGCTAAAAATACCCGCCCTGCGCCGCGCTGCTATTTATAGCCGCGCTGCTGCTATAATTACCTGCCTGGGCGGCGGGGCCGGCGGCGCCGCCTCCGTGGCCTCAACCGGCCGGCTCTGCGGCGGCAGCCGCGCGCGTGTGCACGGGGTGGGCAGGAGCATCACACGCGTGTGCACGGGCGGGCAACATCACACGCGTGTGCAGGGGATGAGCAACATCGCACACCTGTGCACAGGGTGGGCAGGAGCATCACGCGTGTATGCACGGGGGCAGCATCATTACACATGTGCATGGGCTGGGTAGGAGCATCACACGCATGTGCATGGGATGAGCAACAGCATCACATGCATGTGCATGGGGTGGGCAGCAGCACCACACACGTGTACACAGGGTGGGCACCACCACATGTGTGCACGGCGTGGGTAGGAGCGCCACACGCGTGTGCACCGGATGGGCAGCATCGCACACATGTACACGTGGTGGACAGCAGTCACACGTGTGTGCAGGACACACGTGTGTGCGCACGTGTGCAGGACCATCGCACACATGTACATGTGGTGGACAGCAGTCACACATGTGTGCAGGACACACGTGTGTGCGCACGCGTGCAGGGCTGTGCAGGACCATCACATACATGTACATGTGGTGGACAGCAGTCACACGTGTGCAGGACACACGTGTGTGCGCACGCGTGCAGGGCTGTGCAGGACCATCGCACGCGTGTGCACGGGCCGGGTGCCCCCAGCGTCCTGGCCGTGCCAGGAGCAGCCCCACACCCGGTGCAGGGACGCTGCTCCGTGGGGCTGCCCCGGCACGGGGGCTGCTCCGGGAGCCCCCCGTGGATGTCCCACCCACGGCCGCGGGGGATCCCAGCTGTCCCGGCGTCACTGCAGCGACGCGCTGGAAACGCGGCCGTGACGCCACGGGGCCCATCCTGCTCCGGCTTCCGCCGCGGCGCCGGGAGCCCCGTGGGGCCCGTCCTCTCCCAACCGCAGCCTCCCCGGCAGGGCCCCGGCACTGGGGGGCCTCCATGGCCGGTGGGGGGACAGAGCCGCCGCCGCTCGCCCGGCCCAGCCCAGCACCCATAGGGAGCCCCGGCACACGCAAGTGACTGCACATGGGACATGCACACACATGGGACATGCACACACATGGGATGTGCACACACATGAGA